CCGAATTCGACGTCGGGCACTCATCCTTCTCTGCTACGATTTTGAGATCTGCTTTCAGTCGACCACATCCTTTGGCTAGGCAGATGGGCTCTCAAGGCTTATTAACTCTCAGAGACAGCCCAAAGAAAGCGTTATTGATTCTCTATAGGTAGAATCGGACGTCGAATACCTCATGACCAATTATCTGCGCATTAAACCAATGATAGCTTAAGAAGTTCGGGAGGAAACAATCCACCATACACTGCTTAGGGTCACACAATGCGTCCACAGACGTTGGACGTTATGGAATTCTGCAGACAGAATAGCATCAACCACATCCGCTCCCCACATTTCCTTCTAAAAATCCAACTGTCAACTGGTGTCTTTGAATTCTGTCGTACCATTCAGCTCGAAAATCATCTTGCAAGATTTTATTGAATTATTCATCATCAATCGAATCTTGATCAATTTCAAGGATACCAGTACTACCTTACACGAACACGCTTATTAAATCCCTACGTGCTATCACGCAACCTGCACGTTTTGTGAATTATGCCAACAAAGTGAGAAATAATTTCAAGCGGATTATCAAAACAGGGCGACAGACTAAGCAAACATGGCGCAGGTTACCAAGTCAGTCTTAAACAGTACATCAATAGAAAATTGCAATTCTTTTCATTTTAACAAGCAACATTCGCTGCCTGTGGGGAAAAGTTGATGGTATGGTGATATCACACGACAAAAGCAGTACACAAAACTTGGGATTATTGTGCTACATAATCATTGTTGTACGAAGAAATTCCAAGTGAAATTATACACCTGGATGGGTATAATGTGAATTGGTTTGACCGTCCCACGGGTATCCGTAATTACGGTAGTATTATAAGTTACTTTAATGACAACTGGAGTAAATCAACCACCGTGATCTTCGAATCTTCGACGACGTTGAATGTAAACCTCGTTGTTTGAGTGGGTTTCGTTCGATACCTCTTGGAAACATTTACCTGGCACCTACAATATCTGGCCAACTTTGTCTAAAATGTTTATTCGATGGACTCCGGTGAATTCTAAGGAAAAACTGTCGTGACATTCAGCTTACATGCTACCTGGTGGATGCCATATACCTCTGTAAGTTGGATAGGTGATTCGAATGTGAAAAGATCAGTGCAATCGGTGTGGCCTCATAGCTCAGCTGGTGGAGCGTGCGCTGCACAAAAGCGTATGCGGCTTCCGTGCTTGGGTTATAATCCCACGGAGGCTACTGAACTCTTCACAATTTCAACATAAGACTTCAATCTGCCAAAGAACCATTTGAACAATAGGTATTCTGATATTTTTTTCTGTTTCCATCATCATATCCTTTGTGTGTATAGTTGTTGGTGGTTTTAATAGACATAATATAACTTTCCTCACCTCTCTGGGTCTACAAAACGCGGTATATTTTCCTTCCAAATGCACAACTCGACTTGGTTTTTAATAAACAGACTACAATTTTTCAAAGTTCAGAAGGACACTGCTCTTAATGGTTCTGATCATTTTATTTTACAAGTGTGTCTAACTGCATCCAGCAAAAAATAACCGGTACACGTTTTTAAGAATATCATCCAAGATAATGAGCCAAAGGAATTATCCATAGGATAAATTAGAAAGATTCCTGATTGCGGCCACAGATTTTCCGGTGTTTCAAGATAAAACCCTTCTGTCTTCTGTGAACACCACCTTGATTTCTTTTAACCAGTGATACTCACCTAAAATGGTCTTCATCTACAAAGATATATACTCATCACCGTTAATAAAACAGCTACACAGATGTGAAGCGCAGGCATATAAGAGACAAAGAATACATGTTAAGCTGCTTACAATTTTGATCAAATCTGAAATTAATCGCTTAAATAGATAGCACATAAATCTCATTTAATTCGCAGTTACTTGTGAGTGGTAGTGTGGGATAATTGTTATGGATTTGAACTAATTACTTTCCGGACTTCACCTACACGCTCATTGGTAACACAGGTCTTCTATGCAACGGGTCCGGAGTTCAAAGCCCGAGCGGGACGGTGGATATGCACTACTGACGAGTCCCCATAATAATGAAATTTGACTCTAGTGCTTCCCAGGTTATGATTGATTGAATGAACTGAGGATTTTGCATGAAGTCTAAGTCCGGAGATAGTCAATTCAAATCAAATTGGGCATAGATACTATCCTGGAAAACTTAAGTTGTCGCGGTATATAGAGAGGTATCAAATGCCTGTTTGTCAGTACCAAAAAACAAATGAGGAACTGTCGGTCTTGAAAGACTCAATTTCGAGTTGAGCCCAGTTTCACAGTGCACAGCTCTTCCGAACTTCGTCAGTTTTACGCCAACACCAAATATCGAACCTGTCACGGTCCTCCAATAGCTACGGAAAACGAAGATGCTTTAGCATCTGGTCGGGATGAACTATCACCCATACTCATACACATAATCAAGGTATGTGCGAAAACTCTAACTTACTCAGTGCCCGTCTGGTAAACGGAAAAAATTCCTGACATTTGGAGACTGGCCAAGATAAATCCCATCCTCAAGAAAGAACATGAGAAGTACCGTTCCATCGTCTGCTCGTGGGACATGCTCAAATTATTTGACTGATGCTTTTTACTCTGGATTTTCACTGAGTCTGTCGAGGATGATATATATC